ATGTACAAGTAGCTGATGATTTATTTATTATTTTATCTTTGTGTATTTCCATGTCTTATTTTGAAATCATCCTGGGGACCATGTCTTCCAGTTTACTGATTCTTGCTTAGGGCCCTGTTTTCTGTTCATTACAGCCAGCATACTTCCTCTTCTGATGCTGTACTTCTCTCCGGGTTCTGTTCTGTTTTCAAACTTATCTTTGCAGGATATTCATATTCATTTCGGCATTCTTGAGCATATGGAGCTTGTGTAATTAGTGTTTTTTGTGTTCTTTGGGGTCTCTCCTCCCTGTCATTTATAGGTCTCTTTCTATACATTGACTTATAACTGTCAATGAGTTATATTGCCCCACATCTTTGCATGCCTCATAAATTTTGATTGGATGGTAGAAAGAGGATTTTATGCTGTTTGTTCATTGGCTGTGTTTCATTAATATGCTGTCAGAGTTGGCTCTGACCTGTGCTTAATTGACTTAGCGTCCTCTCAAGATGTGCCTGTCTGTCAGCTTGGAGAAGGTCCACAGAAGCCTCAGTCTAGGGGGAGTTTTCCTGTCCAATGAGGCTGAAGAACTTCAGTCAGTGTGTTCTGATGGCTCCACCGAGTGTGACCAGGCTCTTTCTTAGTAGTTGGCATCACATATGTGCCCTGGGAATTGTTCAGCTTCATTCTTCTTACTATTCTTGCTCACTGTTGGGCATTTTTCTTTCATGTATATGGGAGTGATCAGACTCAAGGGACTTATCCACACAGATCCAAAGTTGTCTCTGTCAACTTGCCACTCCTTTTGGACTGGAATGTTATCCATACTTCCATCCCAAATGTTAACACATGTCTTCAAAATGCCTAGAGATTATCTAACTCTGTTACCCTCTGCCTTGAAACCTGAAAATGCCTCTCAAATGTACAATGGTGTGAATGAATGGCACTCCTGGTTTGTTTTCCTTCCTTGTAGCCCCCTATCATTTTCAAGCTCTGTCGGCTTTTTTGTTTTTGTTAACTATGGAAGACAAATACTTACAGTAAGCCCCTGTCCATTTGATTTGGCTCAGTGCTTAAGTCACAAGACTGACCTTTTACAATAAGATTTATCTATTTGTATTTATATGTATGAGTGCTTTGCCTGTATGTTTGTATGTGCACCAGGTGTGTGCTTGGCGCCCACAATAGTGAGGAGATGACATCTATTTCTCTGGAACTGGAGTTAAAGGTGGTTTTGGAAACTGAACCCATGTCCTCTGCAAAAGCAGCCAGTGCTCCCAACAACCTAGCCACCTCTTGGCTTCCATGCATGACTGGTCCTTTAATGGCCAACCTCAGACATAGAAGATATTGTTATATACTCCTATTTATATTGACTTACAGTCATGACACAATTGTCCTTCTACACATACAACAGATTCCTGTGAGATGTATTTTCCTTATCTAACATCTATGTGCTTCTGCTGTCTACATATTGGTATTGTCCTGAAACACACTGGAAAATCCCTCTTTATTTTACAAATTGCTTATACTTTTATTCCTTCACACTGTAATCAATCACATTCATCAGTAGTCACAGTATTTTAAATTTAATTTTAAAGCTACTGTTTTGATTCACTTATAGAATATATCCTATGAATATACCATACTTAATTTTAGTTGTTAAAGTTTACTGGTCACATTGTTATGGCCTATCTCCAGAATCCTATCATATGGGTGCACAAGTAGTTGACTCTGTGGTTGATGGGTGCTGTGCACTCCTTACTAGGGTTAACAGCCACTCTCTAGTTCTTTATGGCCTTACTAATTTATATAGCTTTCCAAAAAGTTGTTGGGAGGATGTCAAAATCTTAATAATTTTGAAGTGTGTGTGTGTGTGCACGTGTGCATGTGTGTGTGTGTGTGTGTGTGTGTGTGTGTGTGTGTTTGTACTAGGGATTGAACCTAAGGCACTGTGGATGTCACCACTGTATCCTGAACTATTCTATTTATGTTTTGTTTTGAAAAAAATGTCCTCTAAATTACTCAGGTTAGCTGTGATTTTATTCTGTAGCCCTGGCTGGCCTTGAACTTTAATCCCCCTCCTTTAGTCTCCTGCATAGTTGTGGTTAACAGCTTGTTTCACTTAATATGGTCAATCTTGTATCTTTCTTTCTTTTTCTATAATTCAGTAATTTTTAATGAATGTATCAAGCCATACAATCATGAGCACAGTTCATTTCTAGATCATGCCTGTCACCTCCATGGACTCCTGTACAGGTATGTGTAATTTTCTTTCTGTCTGTTCATGTTTTATGTATTCTGAAGGTCTCTTAAGGGCATACACATTTGTGTTGACAAGGCTCTCAGTATATTATAAAGTAGCCTGTTTATATGTGGTAGCTCCTTTTGCTAATGTTACTTTATCACTATGAAAATAAAACGTCTCTAGCTTTTTTTTCTTTTTTTAGACTCTTTTTAAAAATATTTTAAATTTAAATTAGAAACAAGATTGTTTTATATGTCAATCCCAGTTCCCTCTCCCTCCCCTCCTCCCCTCTTCCCCTGCTTCCCACTAACGCCCTACCTATCCAATACCATTTTTGCTCCCCAGAGAGAGTGAGGCCTTCCTTGGGGGTCTTCAAAGTCTGTCATATCCTTTTGGATAGGGCCTAGGCCCACCCCTGTGTGTCTAGGATGAGGGAATATCCCTCTATGTGGAATGGGATCCCAAAGTCTATTCCTACACTAGGGACAAGTACTGATCTACTGTAAGAGGCTCCACATATTTCTGAGGCATCCTCACTGACACCCACATTCATGGGGTCTGGATCAGTTCCATGCTGGTTTCCCAGTGATCAGTCTGGGAGTCAAGAGCTCCCCTTGTTCAGGTCCAGCCTTCTTAAGATTATTGTTTGCATGTTATCACCTTAAAATTAATAATGTCTTTTTATAAAGTGAAGACTTTGGATATTACAGAAGTGGGCCCTTATTTTTCACCTGTAGTGTGACTCTCAGTTTTTAAGCTCTCCCATGTACACACAGGTACACATGTACAAAGAACTATTTAATGATGGTGTTCACGTCCAGACATTCAGATGTGCCTTTTCATTTTTATTTTTCACTCTTTTTTCATTTATACTGTGCCTTTTGATATTCTTTCTTATCACCCATTATACTGTGTGTCCATAGCACTAGAGGCATGTAACACAATTTTAGAAGTCTCCTCAGGATAGCAGGAATCCCGACAGCAGAGCATAGAGGGGAGTGGGCACTGCCAGTGTCACACCTCCCTCAATACTAAAACCTTTCTTCTTCCCAATGACTCCTCTCCTACTTCCATGCATATTTTTACAGCCCACTGAGTTTTACCAGCCTTCAGGAGCAATTGTGGGGGTTATCATTTACTAAAGATTGGGCAACTTACCGATGGCTACACCATTAGAGAAATGTGATAGCAATTCTCCCAGCAATCATTGACTGCCAGAGGTGCCTCAGAAAGAGGTGGGACCACACGAGCCTCCCCTCCATCCACAGTGAACTTAGCTTTGATGAGTTCATCCAACTGATATTTCTGTCTAAAACCTAAAAGTTACCCACACTGGTCTCCACATAGGAAAATACACACAAAGTCATCTCCATCCATCCATGAAAAAATATATACTAAATATAAGATTATGAAGGTTAACTAAAACCTTGAACCTTTCGCCCCAAATTTGGAAAAAAAAGATCACTACAAGTCTGACAGCAATTATGCAAGAGTCACCAAGGGTAAAGGCAGTTAAACTTTGGCCACCCAATTCAGCCTATTTAAGAGTGGGCCATAAAGCGAGGGAAAGTAATTAAAGAATGGGGGATGCACTTGAACCTTTCAAGCATTGAAAAATCTGGGCCAAATATTCAGAGAAATATAAAGTTGGGCAGGAAAGTGCCTTCATATTCATTAGAAGGTAGTGTCTGGTGCTAAAACAAATGAAAGCCATCAATGTGTAGCTCCTGGTTTGAACAAGGATAAACGTCCTATCTCAAAGCACATCGACCTACATCACATCTCTCAACGTCTTTTGTACTGGCTTCTTTCAGAAATGAAGTCAGCATATTCATGAAGTTCATTAAAGATGTCGATTATTTTAGCCACTTCTATGGAGGTAATAGTGTCGGGTATACTATATTTCCCTTCCCTTAGAGTCAACTCTGATCAAATTTGTTCTCATAATACCTGGCTGCTTCCAGAGTATAAATTACAACACCGTGTAATTTATACTAATGAAACTGATAAAGTAACGATCCATTTTTTGAACAAGACCAGTTAACTCAAATCCAGCAGAGCAGTGGGCAGTGGGAAGAGTTATATTACTAGCCGGCATGATAGGAAGCTTAATGAGATCTGAGAGGTATGATTGGGCCCAGAGAGATAATTGGCTCAAATTATTTTTCATTTTTCTTTAGTCTTTACTTAAATGTGATTGCCAACATCCTCAAAGGATCAGAACTGGAGTCTCAGACAAAAATGGAAGGCTTGAATGTTACAGGATTCAATTCCCTCAAGATATCTTTAGGATAATTGGGACTCAGGTGACAGTAGTTTCTTAGGTAGCAATGGGGCCATGGCGTGGGCTGGGCATACAAAACCTCTGTTCTGTGACACAAGCAAATGGATATCATGGTCCCCCTTGAGATGTGTATTTAGGTGATGTCATGTACCATTTAAAGTTGAGCCATTGCTGATTGCATCTTCCTTCAGAATCCCTTGATTCTGCAGAGTCCTGTAATAACGCAGCATCCAAAAGGCACCATGTATTCCCAGTCTTTCTGGAGTACCAGACTCTGGTGTCAGTAATGTCTTCCCTCCGTGACTGTTCTTCGCTCTGTGCCTCACAATGCTGGAGTGTGAAAATAGTCTCATTCTACAGTGTAGTGATTTAATGGCTTACATCTTCCCGAGGATCCTCAGAGACAGAAACATGCTCACACCACATGGCAACAGATGAGGGAACTAGGTACTGATGGCTCTTTTCTTAAAACCCTCTCCCATTCTACAGTTGTGGAAGGACACTGATCGTCAGCTCAGTCTGTGATCGCCGCATGTTTCAAGGTCCATTGGACACCTACTCACCCTGCATCCACCTGTGAGGCCGAATGCATTGGGTACTTGTGGCCATGTCTACAAGTTGAAGTGTGAGTTCTTCGTGTTGTCCCCCTTCAGGTACCTAGTAAGTGACCTGATATAGTGAGAGCTCTGCTTTGTCCCATTCTCAGTGATTTGGGAGACACGGTGAATGTGGGAAGGACAGATTTCCATCCAGAAAAGTGAATCAGTCACATGAACAGGTAAGATAAACTAGTAACTGCTTTCCTCTCTCTTGTGGACTGTCCTAAGCATGGGACACCTAAGGAATGTATCTGAAAGTATCACATACATTCTCAGGACTGCTAGCAGTGTTTCTTGGGAAGTTCTGGATAGTTTGTCATGGATCATGGTGTTCTCCCCCAGTTCTTTTTTTCACTTTTAATCCTGAGAATATGTCTCATAATACAGTGCTGGATTTTAAGCTTTGTCTCACATTTCTCTTCCAAGGAGACCTGAACTGCTCTAGAAAGGAAGCTGCTGAAGGGCGGGGTGGGGGTTGTTCATTGTCTATCAGCAATACTTACAGTCTGTGGCTATGCAGTGAAACACCATTTCCTGGATTCCTCTTTCATATACTTGTCAGTTCCAAAGGAATCTCCAACCCCCCACAACTCCAAAAGGCAGTCTCCAAATATCCAGAAATAGACTCGATCTTCACTATAGGAGGATTTCTGGAGGTTAGATAAAAGCCAGCATTTCTCAGGAACTTGGGAAACTTGTTCACATATACCAAAAGGAGTCATTTCCCTAACCTTTGGCAGAAGGGACACCTGTCAGCATATCCAAGCCCACGCTGACCTCTAGGCTTCTTCAGTGTCACAAGTACCTGGTACACATTTCAAAGTCCATGGTAGCTCATATCCTAGCCCTTCTCACCTCCTCCCCTACCCTAAACTTCCTCTAGCTCAAGGCTTCCCTCCTCATTCTTCTTATAACCCTGCTGTTCTGTGTCCTCTCTATTTTCTGCTCCTGCTTCTCTTACTATATTTTCTCTACTCCTTATCCCCTGCTCTTCTGTGCTCTCTTGCAGATAGCCTGGCCATATCCAGTCTGTTAGCCTCGTTCAGTCTACCTTTCCTCTCTGTTTTGGACTCTCCAGCTATTCTCTCTCTCATACCTATAATTAAATCCTTCTCCTTAACCATTCCATGCAGCAGTCATGTCATCAGTTTATATAATCCCGAGGTGGAAAGTGTTGGAAAGAATGAGTCCCTGTAGTGCATTGTGAAGTAATCAAGCAATAATGATCATAGGATCTTCGGAGTGGGTTTTTATCTGATGGATTTAAAGAATTTTGGACAGAAAATAGCAAAAAAAAAAAAAAAAAAAAAAAAAAAAAAAAAAAAAAAAGCTCAGAGAGCATTCACATTGCCTTTGAGGAAGATTGTATCTTTAAGCCTGAGGATGCGCTGTACTAAACATCAGACTCAGCGTCTGATGGAAGGTATAAGATACCTGGGGAAAGCCTTAGTACACAGAATTCAAAGGTCCATATATCAAAGTCAAGTCTTGCAGCAAGCTCCTGGAGCTGATCTAGTGGTACATGAAGGTTGGCCCTGGAACTGTGCGTATCTAATTCCCCTGAACCCTCCTGTTGTTGGAAGTAGACTCTTCAAGTTGCCAGAAGGAAAGAGTTCTGCCTTTCTTGAAAACATTCAATGATGTCACTTAAAAGGAACATCACATTGTGTTGTCTGTCTTCCTCAACCTCTTGTCTCCCCATCAGAGAGAAGAAAACAGGCCAAGTGACACAGGTGCTTAGGAGCCTGGTCGGTTTTCCATCAATGACACTGTTGGGATTGGGTCTTGTGGTGTGAGTTACAGGCGACAGAATATGTAGGTGTCTTTGGGATACATGTACTTTGAGGAAGGGTTTTCTACAATTCGTGAGATGAGGGGAGCTGTTCCTATGGGTCCTCTGGTACAGGTTCTTGAAGCCTGAATCAAAATGGCCTAAGGAAAAAGATAACAGAATTCTATGGTGCTGGATTGAAGAGAACGTCAGAAATCTCAGGGAGGGGGATAGAAGCCAGGGACTCCTTAGGATGTGAGCTTGAGAACCCATTACTGCCATATTTCCCAAGGAGGCCTGGGTAACATCATCTCCTCAAAGATATCTTCACTGGTCATGGATGGCCACTGCAGATGGAGACTGTAGATGATGATTATGATACTTGTGTCTCTTGACTTAGTAACAGCTCAGCCTCCATATCTACTAATCAACAAAAATCTCACCCTCTCCTATTCCACTGCAGTTCCTGACAAAGAACCAGGAAAACAGTAGAGTAGGAGAAAGCATCTTGAAATAACACTTCAGGGGTTTCTCATGGGGAGACTATTTGTCCTTCAAAGAGTTCTGTGCCAGTGAGTTGTCAAGAACTGATAAAGCAGGCTAGAGATCACTGGTCCACTGAGGGCTGATGTCAACCCTCTGCTTGGCAGGTGTGGTTGTTCTTTTGAAAAACAAGTGGAGCAACACTTGGGGGGCTGACCATATATTCAGTAATAAAGACACTGAAGTTCTAACAATCACATAGATCCTTATGGGCCCAGACATCATGGTTGCTATTTCAGTCCTTACAGCCCAACATGGTAGGATGTCACTGTAATGGATGGGTGCTGTTCCATGTCTTCTGTCTCAGAACCCTATCACTGTCATTGTCACCCCCATCAGCTTCCCAGAGCACCTGATTAATTTGAGCTTCTGTAGTGTTTCTTTTCTTGCTGACTACTGTATTGGTGTCATCTTCCCTTGTGATGGGTTGTATCTTAGGCCAGTCTGCCCAAACAAAACAAATTAGGGAGCTTAACCAATTGGTACATACAATCCTTCATGGTTCTGGAGGTCATGGTACCAGAGAATCCCATTTCAATGAGAGCTTAGAAGCTGGAGCTGTCAGGATCCACACAGCCATCAAACAGACCTTGGTGTGTACAGAAGGAGGAAGGTAGAGCCTTAGTCTCTGATAGGAGCTAGAGCAAAGCCCTGTGGGAAAATCTGCTCTCCTAAACTGCTCTCCATTTGAAGAACAGCTTTCCCTTTCCTATTCTGGCATCATATTAACCTTGGGACTTGAGACACTAGTCTGGTAACTGAAGCTCACCATAAGAACTGTGTGTTATTGATCCCTGTGAGACAGAATAAAGGAGCATTGAAAGCTAAGAGACACTTGTCTCTTTGAGTGGTACATTCTGGATCAGATGAGCACAATAAGCAGGAGGGAGTACACTTCAAGTGTTTCCTTAACTCAAAGCTGAGAAACTGCCTACACCCAGTGCTGAGAGGAGAGTAGTGCTTGGTTCTGGGTCACACCCATGGTCTCATTACCTTTCTTTCCTGGGGCCTCTGAAGATAACACCACCTTGAGGTAAACCTTAATCATGCCTTCATATTCTTTCATACCTCTGGAGGTTAGAAGTGTAAAGCCATGGGCTCACTGGGGCTAGATTCTTCCTCATAATGTTCTGAGGGATAAGAATTCTTAGCTCTCCAGGCTTCCTTTGTTTATAGCCATCCATGCCATTCCTCCTCTGGTAAAAACATCACTGTAATCCCAGCTCCCATTGTCCCATGGTCATCCATTCCCCCACGTATTATGTTGTCTTTCCTATGTGCATGTCTGACTCTGCCCTTCCTTTAAAAACACCTGTCACATTAAAAGAACACACTTCTACCTCATCCTAATGGTTACATTGGCAAAGGTTTCTACATGTGGCTGATTTCATAAGCATTGGAGATGGATGGGCTTTGGTGTACACTTTTGGAGTCACAGATCACTCAAAAAACCTAGAATGTTGCTAGATTATCCTAGATCCAGCTTCAAGGCTGTCTTCACAGGCAGTGGTAAAGCGCAGTATTTCTAGCGGGAAGCCCTTGCCCAGCTCATTTGTTTATCTATTTCCATTGAAGAAAAGGTGATGTGTAACTGATGTGTAAGCATCATGAGGTCTGGGTTCCAGAAGCCATATGGATACCAATGTCTGGGCATATTTATGTGACTTATGTAAATTGGTAGTTTGTATAGAACCCACATAGATCTTTGCATATGATTTAAATAATCCCCACATCAAGTATAATACCCAATACATTGTAAATGCTATAAGATAGCTGTCATACTGCCTTTCTCAGAGAATAATGGCAAGAAAGGAAATGTGCACACATTGAGTATTCATGCCGATTTCTCTCCCAAATACACACACACACACACACACACACACACACACACACACACACACATATATATATATTCTGATGCTGGGCAGTTGTTTTAACTGTCAACTTGACACAATCTAGAATCACCTAGAACAGGAGTCTTAATGAAGAGTTGTATAGATCAGTTTGGTGTGTGGGCGTGTCTCTGGGGGACTGCTTGCTAATTAACTAATGTGGGAAGACCCAGCACATTGTGAGGTTCACTGTTAACTAGGTGTGGTGTTCTGAACAGTGTAAGAGGGGAGAAAGCCAGATGAGCACAGGCAAGCAAGCATCCACATGCTTATTCTTTCTCTGATTTTTACTATGGATATGGTGCTTCTAATTTGTCTCCCAACTATGTAAATATTTCAATACTATTACCAGTCCCTTCTTCTCAAACAGGCTCTTCCTCCATCAACTTTGGTGCATAGTGTCCATGCCAGCACTGGCCTCCTGTTTGGGGTCTGGAATGCATTCTTCGCCCTCAACACACAGAGATGGGGGAGCATAGCTTTGCCTGAATCAGAAATTTTCCCTTTCCAAGGCCCCTCCTTCTCTCTGAGGCTAAGGGCGAGTGGTGGGGATATTTAGATTAGGTCTTGATAGAGCAATTATCCTCCTTTCTAGCTCCTTTAAAGTCCTTGTAGTCAAGTCTGAATACATTTTAGCCTAATTGTCACTTATTAGCACCCTGGGTCCAGTCAGCTGAAACTGTGCAGATTCTTTCCCTCTTCTTATATGCTGGATATCTTAAAGGTCTTTGGTTTAGAGTGGCCTGCTACCACTTTCCAGCTCTGGGCTGACCAATTTTAAACAAATGTACCACAAAGCATTGGTCATACTAGACTCTTGAGACTTTGGATTAATGACACTGCTTCAGTTCCTGCCCTTGGAACACTAGTCAACACTGGAGGTGAACGAAAATGTATTAAGTACTTAAATGACTGGCTATGCCCAGGATTTTCTCTGTAAAGCAGACTTCATGTAGCAATACAGAGTAGTCCT